ACGATTCCTGCCAGAGTGTGGAATCCTGCCCATGACTAAGCTTCCTTGTGATTCTGTGACTCCACCGTTTCGCGGGGTGTGAGCCCTCTTAGGACCTCCGGAGTCATAACGAGAACTTCATCCAAGGTGATATGATCCCACGAAGGGTATGTTGTAATGCTTCCGGGGCAATTAGCGCAGGTCGAAATGATAGCTCAGTTCTGCAAGAGTCCACAGCAGCGTTCACTTCCGTACCCATTTGGGCATTCGTAAAAGCTTAACGTCTAAAAAAGGGAGGGATAACCCGGTGCGTCGATTAATCATTCGTGGGATGCATTGTGCATGGCTCACTCTTCACGCAGCAGAGATCCTTAAGGTTCAGCCCCAAAAATGACCTCAATAAAAAGATAATCATTGAAGAACGTTCCGTGAACCCTTGGCAGCTGTCGGTGGTGGATGAAAGTCGAATTCGTGGCGCATCCAAAAATGATGTCCTCATTCAATCGTCTTGAGACTAGGAGGACCATACCATTTCGTTCTTGTCCTGACCACGTGAATGCAAGTACTGCTAGGTGCTCGAAAAAAGTATTCAGGAACCCCTTGTTAAAAAAGACCTCTTCGAATCTTTCCCAGTTGTATCAAAATCTCAAGTGGCCAAAGCCAACATTTGTTTCAGCTTTCTTTCAGCACGCCCATCCCATTGGGCGGCTAGTGGCGAACGAGATGATTACATTTGCTGGGTGACTACGATAGCTGAAGAGATGATTAACCCCCGTTCTCTTCGTTTTGCTTACTCGAAGATTTTCGTTACAGATAAAACTTTTACCTAGTGAAGTTCGAAGAAAGTCCACCAGTGACGTTCGCCGTTCATCATCTCAGTGATGACCTCATCATTTCCTCCTTAAACGGCTTTTAAGTGCCCCCAGACGGATCGGCAACCTATCATTACCGCTGAGCGGCCCGATCCGCTTTTCGGCATTGTTTCACGGCGATAATGTACGGCTTAGAGTAGGTGTTAAGTGGTCGCGTCGGCAGCGACCACCTGGTTGTCGGCAGCTTCTTAGCTTCTTAACCCCCTCGACCAGCGCACACACGCGACAGTTGCATAAGAGAGTGTTGATGGGAGCAATTGAGATGAGTTAAGCGGCTTGGGCGCGCCGAGAAGGAAATTTTCAGCTTCAATTCTGACTCGCAGTATTGACCATTCTTTATGGAGTTTTCGAGAGTACAATTGCGTAACGTAGGAGTCCTCCCCTTAGGGCTACTGTGAAATCCGTTAGGGACCCAGCACCATCGGTGCATTTATGATACAGCAGAAGCAACGCACTTATGAGTCGAGATCAGGTGTGGCTTTATTTGGAGTCAAATTTGGCCCAGAATTGAAAACGTTGAAATAACCGCTCATAGCGGGTCATGAGA